AAGCTGCACATACCTATATAGCCCATATATGGCAGTGCCCCCCCCCCCTGAGTCCTGCAGTTTTTCTCCCCATAAATTGACTGTCTGAGAAAAATAATGAAACAGTCCTGTTTTAGCCCATTTTTCATCTTAAGTCTTTCACATTGTAACCCTTACAAGATGGAGAGAGGAGAAGTCGGATTCTGATCTAATTTGACACTATGATAAATCCTTTGTATGTTTATTCAGTTTTATTAATGTGTGTCTTCAATCACTCAGTTTCTTTTTAAAAACTTTTTTCTTTCATGTCTTCTTCTGTTACTTTATTTCAATTGAGTTAAACCTAATTCCGTGCGTCCTAAGATAGGGTCTTAGTTTTCATATTGTTTGAAAGCTAAGGTGGGTTCTGAGTTTTCATAGTAAGATGGGGTCTTAGGTCTTAATCTTAGAGCGACTGTTTTCCTTTTCCTTTTCCACAAAAATGGATTGGCTTGGGCAGATGGAAACGAAACATTTTATGGGGATGGCCTAGGTTGCACACATAACTATTGTCTACGATGATCTAAAGTAATAACCATTATAAATTATCAGACTAAGTTCTCCTTCGGTTACATTATGTATGACATTTCATATATAAGCTTATTTACTTGGTTGGTCACTCTGATCTTTATAATTATTTAACTTTTTTGCCTATAATAGGTTCACCTAGCCAAGAAAAACTTCAAGTCTTCCATAGAGAGGCAGGAACTTGAAATTCATTTAGGAAGTGTTATGGAACTTCCATATAGTGACAACTTCTTTGAGCGAGTGTTCCATGTAAACTGTTACTATTTTTGGCCTGATCTGGATCAAGGCATTTCTGAACTGGGGAGAGTCATGAAAACAGATGGTTTGATGGTCTCTACATTTGTTCGAGACAAACTCAATGATTTTTCTAAGAATGGGTTGTTTAAATATGCACCTCACTGGTCACCAGAAGTTTACATTGCTAAGTTGTCAGAAGGAGGATTTAGCAATGTCTCCATAGAAACTAAGAAAACAAAATCTGGATTTGCTTTTCAAGTTATTTATGCCTCAAAATCATAAGAAATTATATAATCTAACCCAGACCTTAAACCTTACCCTGTTTTCTACATCATGTTGCAGAATGTTGAACTGACATTCTAGCATATTGGTTTTATGGCCAAGTTTGTTTTCCACCAAAACCTGGAAAAATTGGAAACCCAACATAAGTGTGAAAGTAGCAGACTTCTCAGGAAACTTTGCCATTTGTTGCTTTGTTTCAATCCTAAATTTTATTACGCTTTTTAAAGCTTTTTTAGGACTGAATCTGTAGAGTGTATACTTTTCTTCAGGAAAATGATACCAGTCCATTGTTAGGTAGGTAGGTGGCTGTGAGTTGTCTTTATTTATACACGAAAAGGAAAGAAAAAGTAGATCTTTGTCAGGGCTGTTGGAATCCACAAAGAAAAATTGGGGGTAGCCACACATTTTTACGAGATAATTAGCCTTGAATCTCAACAAAAATTCTGAAAAAAAGAAAGAAAGGATATTTCTTCACAGATTTCCTTAGAATTCGCATTTATATACCAAAAAGTGAACATGTTTATAAAGATCTTAAGACTACTTGGTTAAAGGTAACATAAAAACCATTCTTGATATGTTTTTCAATAACAAATCGTTGCAACAGCGCTTTTAGGGTCTCTAACAGCCTTTGTCTGGTTCAGTTGAAATACAGTCTAAATAGCTTTTACTCATAACTAAAAACTAATCATGTGTTGAATAGGCTTGCCACTTCCATTTCATAAAATAAAATGTGGGGGTAACCACGTGTTTTTTAAAGTTATTCATCCTTTTAAAAAACTTTTTGTGCCCGTTAAATTTTTTCCTGTCACCTCCCCAGTAAGAAAAACATTTCCGCCTCTCTTGCTTGTGTTGCGCGCACACTACGCCCTCTCCAGGTACATGTTTACAACTGGATTTTAGTACAATTTTCGACAGATAACAGCTAGTTTTTCAGCTGGAAGCCATTAACAGTTTGTGGTTAATGATACAATGTTATTCTCGTGTTCCTGCTTTAAGTACAGGTTCATTAAACTTGATTTGGTCACAGCAGGAAAATTTTGCTTTTATTTTAGTCGTGTACTTGCTAGCATAGGGAAGCGTAGTTGATTACGTCAATGCCAATCCTAGCATGTGCATGCCGGTTAAACTATGCCTTGCGTGATGCGCAGAACGTGCGCACACTAACAAAAGTACTGATTGATGTGCACACTTGCGCGTGTTGCTAAGGAGTTGAAATTTCACTTGCATCAGCCTGAGTGTAGAAAATTTAAACACTTCAACAACTTGAAAATTTGGTTACATTTCAGTTGTTTTTTGCTTTGTTTCACAAAATTCAGCGTAAAAAAGTAAGCAAAAACAAACTAAGAGAATATACTGTAAGCAGGTTCTTAATCCCCTAGGTTCTTACACATGAGTTTTTACTGTATAAAAACCCTTCAATTTTTAATAAACATCAAGCTTGGATCAGCCACCCAGTCAAAGAAATCATGATCACACAACTAACTCCATTTTATAACCATTTATTGACAGTCAACATAATTATGATATGTGTACAAGCAGTTGTGTAATGAGGTATCTGATATGAAAAGCACGCTGTGAATAGCTGTAAGCTGTACTTGCCCTTGATAGCTTTATACTACATGTATTGTGCTGATTATGTCTAAGATATCTAATTTAATTTCCTATCACGAATTACATAGCTAAATAGAGCAATAGTGATACTAATTCACTGATATGATACAGATAAATATATTTGTTACGAATGTTTGCATATTGATGAACTCTTTCTTCACAACAGTTGCAACTTCATTGAATGTTTAGAGATACATATAAGGACTAAACAGTGAAATAATGCTATTCTTGGAGTGCTAAGAAACATTTCCTACCCATTATTGAAGGTGAATAAACTGCAGTCTTCAAGTGTAATGTTCAACAGATAATCAAAAACAAAACAGATGTCAAAAACAAAAGTGACATCTTTTTTGGTAAAATACCTCAGTTTAATTCTTTGGCTACATACTTGGAAATCACAATATCAAAAGAGTAAAGGAACCTCCTAGACTCACTCCTCTTGCAGCTTGTGGTTTATTTAAATTGTGGTCTCTGAGATCTTGTCACTGACTGCAGTTAAATCTCAATATCCACCCAGAAATATCACTATGGCTCACTTGAAAAATTTTTCACTGTAACAGCTGGCAACAATAGAATTTACTTGACAATTTTTAAGAATTCTTTTTGTGAAACTAAAAATAACAACTTAACACCATAAATAATAAAAGCAACCTTACGGCAATAAAAGCATTGGCTAGTTGCATTCATTTAATACACAGCCTGTGTAGTTCGAAGTTTCATTAATATGGGGTGAAGGCCACAAATAATTCCTGGGTGATAGCCATGAAAGGACACTCCCTTCTTCCAATTAAGTCTCACAGCTATGGCAGTCATTTTTGCTCTCCACTCGTTTTTTGGCTTTGTACCAATTAAATTGCCAGCACAGGTCTTAAGACACAAAATTAATTTTAAAAAAAAACTCTACATATATATATATATATATTTTCAAAATTCATTACTAGCTAGATCCTGTAACATTCCATGTACTTGAAAAGCAAAGATGTACTCTGTACATAATGCAATTGCTTACAGCGGTTATCAATCACATGCGACCTTCAGTGGAAAAACGTCTTGGCAAAACCTAAGTTTTGGTGGACGTCAATCGTCTCCACCTCCTTACCGACTGTATGCAAAATTTACAAAGGAAGTCTTAAACCTTGCAGCGGTCCACTCGTAAAAATTATCATTTTACTTTCAGTATGCTCAGCTAGCTCACTAAATAAACTGACATTAAATATTCCTTGATATTTGTAACTGAAGATGGGCAGATCGGGTTTCTCAACGGCCATTCGCATGCATGAATGACCCCGAGATCAAGCAAATCTACACACAAACTAAATTATTTCTGTACATATTTGTCTTGGGGCTATGGACTGAACAAGACTTAAATGTCTTATAAACCTTATAATTTTGTAAGGTAATAAGTTATAAATTCTATAGGTTTAAGTATTGTTCAGTCCGTAACCCCAAGAAAAATTCGTGCAGAAATAATTTGTTTGCTCACATGCAGATTTGCTTGATTTTGGGGTCATCCATGCATGTGAATGGTCATTGAAAAAACAGAAAAACTTCATTCATAGATTTCAAGGATTGTTTAATGTCAATGTATTTAGTGAGCTAGCCGTACATACCGAAAGTAAAATGATAATTTTTACGAGTGGACTGCTGCAAGGTGTCAGACTTTTTTTTTCAGGTAAATTTTGCATACAGTTGGCAAGGAGGCGGTTAGGTTTAGTCAAGACGTTTTTGTGTTAAAGGTTGCATGTAATAATGACAACCGCTGTAAAATAGCTTTTTCATGGCACTCTTTTTAGAAACTCTCTTAGTTTCTATTTCTTTTCTGTAGGTCACTCGGGTAGTTTTCCAGTAGTAAGAAGATGGAAACATATTACATATCTATATAAAATTGATCATCTCATTTACTACTTTGTGTGTACCTTCAATCCACTTATTGCTACATGTATGATCACAATTAATATCTTAAGAATATAATACACAACATTACAACCGTTAATTTATAATATTCTCCTATTACATTGTAAATTGTTTTCACCCTGTCCAATTATTTACTAGGCATCACATTACTGCTCATAACTTACAGAACATTTATAATGAAAATTAATACCATCATAAAATTAATGAAAGAGTTCAGACTAAAAAATTAATTATTTTTCAGTGAAATTTTACCAGTAAAAAAAACCGGTTTGACCACAAGTGTTAAAAAAGCGTTATTTACAACCTTAGTAATCCAATGCTCAAAATAGAATGTCTCCTCAGTGGCTGCATTACCCCTACTACAGTGTTAGGTCTGAGAATTTTGTGATTCACGTAAATAAAGGTAACATCCTTCAGTCAATAATGATTATCCTCTGTTTTCATCACTGGCCTGTTTGACAACAAATTTACTGAATAATAACTCAGCAGACATTTGACTCTGATCATTATTAGCCAAACAATCAACAACATGAAATACCATAATGACCTACATTCTTCTGGCAGCAAATACTGTATTTTTGGAAAATTAAAAAAAAAAAATAAGGAAGAAGCAAACAAAAGTATTTTGATTTAGAGACATGTGCTGAACCATGAAACTCTCCCTTTAAAGTTCTAACACACATTGTGTGATGAGTGTCATACTGTGAAAAAATCTTTTCTGAATGAAAAAGAAATTAAACTTTGCTTTTCAACAAAAGGAGTTAATCTTTAACAACACAATTTAAAGCTTCTTTATGATTGTTGTCTACTCTTGCAGCACTTTGACAAAATAAGCTATAAAGCTGTTACTCTAAACTGTCACAGTATAAGCCATTCTTGCACAGTAAGCAGGCTAATAAAACAATTATAAAATGTATTTTTAAAACAAACACCACCAAAAAGAACTTAAAGCCTTCAAAACAAACTTCAGATGAAAAGAGAAAATACTGTTGTTCTCAACAAAATTGTTTCTATAAAAACATTATGGAAGTTTGAAATTAGTTTGGACACACTCACATGTACATTATTTTAATATTTAATAAAAAGCTTAATAACAATGTTTGCAATTTAAAATAATTATAAGAACCAGGAATTCAGAGAGAAACCCTTTCTTTCAAATGACAATAAAGTACCAAGGTTGAAATGAAAGAACTAAAAATTTCCATGCCTTTTGATTGCAAGCTAATAGAACCTTTATTCACAGCACCATGTCACACTCAGTCCCACATTGCATGTTCAACTTCATCTAAATGGAGAAAAGGTATATTAATTAAAACATTCACAATTAGCAAGACTAATTTACATGAAGTATCCTTTTTGTGACATTGCAAATCTGGGACATGTTAGTCCTGGATTCGCTTTTTACAGACAGAAGGATGAATAGGCGAGAAGTTTGAAAGTCAATTAGTATTGAGATGAGTAAGAATATGTTACGTGTATTGTTCTCTGGTTATAATTTACTTGAATATTATGAGCTTTCAACAAAATGACTGTTGTCGATCTTAAACAGGTAATGTAAGAAAAGTCAAACATTAACTAACCCTATTTAGACTGAGTAGTGTCGGGGGGGGGGGGGGGCTTTTGAGGCCCCCAACAAATTTTATTGAAGGTTTGTAACTTTAAAAACATTGAAGCAATGAAGTCCACATTTGGCAACTTTCCTAAATCTTGATATTTCCATGGTAACGTTCTTCATGTTTTACGGCATGTTTTTCAAATTTCAAATTTTGTTGTCTTTAGTGAAAAAAAAATCACTTTTAGTTATTTTTCCTTTTCTATCCATTTTGACTATCTTGCACCAATCATGGTGCTTTTCTAATATTTTACAAAAATTATAAAATCCAAGATGACGGCTATCTGTTAAGTGATGGCGTCATTTCTAAGTCGTATGACATCATAGTTCTATGGTATGCATGCCAAAGGAAATAATTTTGGGTACACTACAAGTCCTCCAAGCTTCATTCTCGTTAAGTTTTAATGTTCTAAGAGATACAGCTGGGCAAGGGCCCGAAAAGCACTCTCCCTCCCCCTAATCCCAGCAAACCAAAAAAGCATGGTCTTTGTACCTTGTAAGTAAATAAAATAATCCATGTACCAGGAGACAAAGAGCAGTTCTCTGAAATACATGTAACAAACCCCAGCATGATAAAATCTCTGTTATAACAACACAGTCCAGAAGCCTGGACTTTGAAAGAAATCCAAAGTTCTAGCTGTAGTACATGTACATGTGCTATAAAGACGATATCAAAACAGATGGAATACTTCATTCTTGTTACTGCTGTACCAGCAATCTGAATTCTGGGTGTTGCAGTATAAAAACTCAGCTACGACTCGGTTCTGTTTCCCACAAATTCATTAAAACAGGAATGATGGATCCCTGAACTCATTTTTCAGGTCCCTTGGAACTTCATTGTATACTGGGTTGCATTGTACCAGTAATGACCACCGCGACACCATTTTTTTTTTCTATACTGTATTGCATCAAAAAATTGTTACATATAGTTTACGATTTCTTATCACTCAATCAAGGATGTCTTGAAAATAACAAAAATTGCTACAAGTTCAGAGGTCCAGTATTAGGGTTTTTGGGATATGGGACATTTGGGTAAAAAATTAACAGGATATAGAATATTTAGGGAGAAAATTAATGGAATATGGGATATTATGATCAGATAAAACAGGATATTGAGTTGGAAAATTGTTAATTTCTGCACTTGGAATTAATAGGATAC